AGCACTCTACCAAGGGTGACATAGTAAGACTGTCTCAAAAAAAAAAAAAAAAAGACTGATTATATACTGTTATCATCAGTTCTTATCATTCACATTGTACTTTATTTTCAAATATGATTATCTGTATCTATCTCTAGTCACTAAACTTGATGAAATGTACAGCTGGATGCAATGTGTTGTAAGTATAACGTGTGTTTTTGGTAGGTAATTCTGAGGACCCACTATTTGCTCAACAGTAAGGATACTCCTATCAAGCCTTCATCATCAGACTGCACATATTAGGATTAGTTATTGCCAGTTCATGGAAGAACAAAATTGCCTTTCTATAGTGAAATAATTTTGGAAAAAGTGTGTATTAGTTAGAAATAGAACCATTAAGAAATAGACACACAAACACACACTCACACACTCAGGATTTGTTATAAGAAATTGACTCACATGATTATGGAGGCTGAGAAGTCCCAAGATCTGCAGTCAGTAAGACTAAGGAGAGCTGGTGGTATACTTCTAGTCCTGATCCAAGTCCAAGTCTGAAGGCTGAAGACCAGCTTGAGGAGTTAGGCAGAGAGAGCACATTCTTCCTTACTGAGTCTTTTTGTTCTTTTCAGGCCTTTAGCAGATTGGATAAGGCCCACCCAAATTGCAGAAGACCACCTGCTTTACTCAGTCTGCCAACTTAAATGTTAATCTCATCCAGAAACGCCCTCACAGACATACCAAGAATAATGTTTAATCAAATATGTGGGCACCCCCAAAGCCCAGTCAAGTTGACATGTAAAATTAATCTTCACCGTGTCATGGAATTTTACGGGTGGCTGTCACCACCCCAGAGAACATAAATTACTTACTATTTTCCTAAATTTAAACAAAATAAAAAAATAAAATTGTGGTTTAAAGAAAGCAGCTCACATTGTGAAGTAAGCATGTGGATAATCAGCATGATTTACCTTTTAGGTGCGGTAACAGACATATGGCAGAAAGATTGTGAATTTTGGAGTTAGACTGAGGTTTGAATTGCCTTTCTGCAACCTGTCAGCCTTGGATCTTGGGCACATTTCTTGTCTGAGCTGTAATTTTGTGGTCTGTAAAATGAAAGATACCTATTTTGCGGTGGTGTTTAGATTAAAGGAGAAAGTATAGAAAATGTTTGGCATGCAGTAAATATTCACTTAATAAAACAAGCTCTTTGAAAGTTGACATATTGAGGCCATTTTGCCCAAAAGTCTTTTGTCCTTAAGTAGTATGACGGCAGTGACCGTTTGCAGAGTCGTGGCAGTGTATGACTATGTCTTAGAGACATGCTGTGAGTGCCTCACTCTGGCTTTCCCTCTTGTTGTCTTGACAGAGTTAAATTAGAAGAGAGAGGAGTTGCTGAGAATTCTCTCATAATCAGTAATGGTGACAGTACTCATCTATCACCCAGGAAAGCAAAGAAGCGGGCGTTTAAGTTAGAGGAGGATGAAGAAACTGAAGTAGGTTACAGATACTCCAAGAAACAATGGAAGAGGCAAGAGAACAATAGCAATCTTGAGAAGGCCTTGGATCTGGAGCCAAAAGCTATTACAGATCAGACCGTGAGGAAAAAAAGTAAGCGAAAAAACAAAGCAACGTGCGGCGTAGTGGATAATGATGATGAAGAGACCAAAAGAAAATCACCAAAGAAAAAGGAGAAGTGTGAATATAAAAAAAAGACTAAGACTGCCAAGTCTGCACAAATGCAAGTGGTGAAAGAGCAGACCGCCCAGAGCAATCCTCCCAAAGGTTCTGTCAAAAACAGCCTGGTGAAAGCCAGAAAGAAAGGGGGTGTAGGCATTTGTTCAAAAGATAGTCCCACTTCCTCCTCCGAGTCTGAGTACAACGACGACTCCAATGATGATCTCAGCAATGTCACCTTGGAGACCAGAAATTCTTCACAGAAAATCCCAACTGAGTTATCAAAGGCAGGAGCCTCTACAAAAATGACAGCTGCGAACAAACTGGCTACCAAAGCGGGCTTTACCCCCAGCCAGGACAAAATCTCGGGAACATCTTCTAGTTCAGACTCTATTTCCGAGTCAGATGACCAGTGTGTGGTATCAAAGGGCACCCCAGAGAGTACTGCGAGTTTCTTAAAGACCATAGGCCTCTTTGCCGGAAGAGGTTGTCCAGGTCCAGGGCTGTTATCACAGTCTCCAATTGCTGCTAGATGGAAGAATTCTGACTCAAATGCTACCAAGCAGGCTCCTGGTCCTCCCAATGTTTCTCTCCCCATTACTTTAGGGAGAGGATGGGGTAGAGGAGAGGACCTTCTCTCTTGGAAGGGAGCAAGGGGTCGGGGCATGCGGGGGAGAGGTCGAGGACAAGGGCCTGCCTTTTCTGGTGTTTTAAATAGAAATGCTGAGTACCAGAAGCAGCAGCAGTTAAGTGAAATAGTAACCAACTCGTCCACTGTTATCCAGGTAAGTGGTGTCGAGTGTGAGTTTGCCTTTCTTTCCATTTCCCCATGGAGTGTGTCAACAGTTCCCGGTCATGGGTTCCCACTTTCTCACCAGGAACAGCCTCAGATGACTAATACTATTTTTTAGAATCCAGTGGAGACACACAAGAAGGACTATACTCTGTTACCGCTGTTGGCAGCTGCCCCTCAAGTTGGAGAGAAGATCGCATTTAAGGTATATTTTAAAACAGCAACAATTATAACAACAGCAAAAGTTAATTTTCCTTTCAAATAGACTCACTTAGCAGGTCAGGTAAACATACTTACAATATATTTAAATGTGTAGTAATATATCACAGGTTCACGGTAGCGCCCCCAGACTCGGGGAGTGGGCACCACCCAAACATGTTGTTTTAGGGGCAGGAGGGAAGAACCATGGGAATACGAGAAGAAAAGGGCTTGTGGACTTGTGGGTTTTTTCTTTTTTAGCTTTTGGAACTTACATCCGATTACTCTCCTGATGTCTCCGACTATAAGGTAAGGCTGTTTATTTAAAAATAATTAAGTTGTCAGTACATTAATAAAACTAAACTCATATTTAATACTACTTACATGGATAATATACATATCTTTGAGTAACCAGTGTCATAAAGTAGAAAATGAAGACATTATCAAATTATAAACTTTTTTTGAGACAGAGTCTCATGCTATTGCCCTGAGTAGAGTGCCGTGGCGTCACAGCTCACAGCAACCTCAAACTCTTGGGCTTAAGAGATCCTCTTGCCTCAGCCTTCCAAGTAGCTGGGACTACAGGCGCCTGCCACAAAGCCCAGCTGATTTTTGGTTATAGTTGTCATTGTTGTTTGGCGAGCCCAGGCTGGATTCAAACCCACCAGGCTTGGTATATGTGGCTGGCACCCTAGCCGCTTGAGCTATAGGTGCCAAGCCATCAAAATGTAAACTTTTTCAAAAAAAAAAAAAAAAAAGCGAACTATTTAATAGTATCACTATGAAATCTCCTTAGAGTTGGGAAGAACATAGAACGAGAATGGTGTGTGTCAGGTCACTCTTTTCTAATCAGCTAGACACATAAATTTATTTGGGTATCTATTCTCTCAGGATCCAAAACTATGAAAGAAGATAATAAATAGCTCTCAGCCAGAAAATTTGATTATTGTCATCCTGGGAATCTGTGTATGTTGTGAATCGCTTCTGGTTATTATGGTCTATATGGTTTCTTTTGCATTATCAGTTAATCACAGGTAGTTCACAAATACTGTCCTTGGAATATACTCACTTGGTAGCTATATGAGACTATGCAGGGTGACCATAAAGTTCATGCACACAAACTTTATGGCCACCTTGTATATTGGCATATGAAGTTTTGTTTTTGTTTTTGTTTGCAGTTTTTGGCCAGGGCTGGGTTTGAACCCGCCACCTCCAGTATATGGGGCCAGCGCTCTACTCCTTGAGCCACAGGCGCTGCATGTGCAGTTTTTCATAGTTCAGTAACAGCTCAGCTCAATTAGTGGGATTACAGAATTACATGTTTTCTTCCCTTTTTCACCCACCAAAATTTTCTTTAAAATCTAGTTAAAGGCCAGGTGCAGTGGCTCATGCCTGTAATTCCAGCACTTGGGAGCCCAAGGCAGATATAATCTCACCAGCGACATGGATTTGAGCAAGAGCGAGACCCGATCTCTAAAAAATAGATGGATGTTGTGGTGGGTGCCTGTAGTCCCAGCTACTTGGGAGGCTGAGGCAAGAGAATTGCTTAAGCCCAAGAGTTTGAGGTTGCTGTGAGCTGTGACAACCTGGCAATCTACTGAGGGTGACAAAGTAACACTCTGTCTCAAAAAAAAAAAAGGAAAAAAATACAGATATATAGTTAAAATGCATACTTTCTTTTTTTTATTGTGATGTATGGAATGGAATATGAGTCCATTTTTTTAAGGTAATAATTGGTAATAGTGATATAAATAATGTACAACGGAATTTGAATTAATCTGGATTAATGCCTTGGAAGACTTCTAAAATCTTGGTAAAAAGCTTTCCTCAAGTCCCGATAGAAGAATCAGTTACTGAAGGGATCCAGTGTATTACTTCTATGTCATTGGGTTTCATATTTTTCATCATCTTATCTACTTACTGTCTCGTACAGATGAGGTGACCATATAATTTATTATCCAGATCAGCCTTCCAAGTAGCTGGGACTGCAGGTGCCCACCATATTGTGAATGCAAGGGAGTGCTATTAACAATTATGCTGAAAGGAAAGACCTGTGCAGACCTGCCCTGTCTTGAGCAAACCAGGATGTTTGGTCACCTTGCCATAGATATAACTAATTTAATTGTGTGGAATGGAGATTGAATTAATATATCCCATAACCTCCGTAAGTTATAACTCTAGATGATACTAATTTTTAAAACTATATATTATATTGGTGTTACTCATCACAGTTAGTACCTTGGAAGGCTATTTGCTTACTTTAGTCCCCAGTGCTTTTTGGAGATTTTTGGTCCCAATTTTTGGTTTTGACCTCGAATCCTGTTATCTAGCTTGATCACCCACTTTATTTATTAAGCTCGTTGCCAGAAGTTAAATCTGTCTTCAAAAGTGTGGTCTCCCAGGGCCTTGATCGCTATTGAATCTGGTTTCTAAAAAACACTGTTGAGTATGCTCAGAAAATCTGGGTGGAAGCAGAAGGAACTGATTGTTCAGGCTCACTCCACGCCCCCCAGTATCTACCCATCTGTCTCACTATCACCGACATGGACAGGGCAGTGTTTCCTCTAGATGCAATAGAAGGTTGGCTCCCAGCACTGGAGACCCTGGAGGAGGGAATTGTAATCTCACCAGGGACTGGTGTGGGGGTGGGGTGTGGAGGGAGGTATGCATGGGACCTTTTTTGTTGTTGTCGTTCTTCATCAGCTATTCTTAGTGTTTGTGTATTTAATGTCTGGCCCCAGGCGACTCTTACTCTTCTAGTATGTGGCAGAGAGAAAAAGGGTTGGGCACCCCTCTCTGGGGTCTGTGTAGTCTGATGAATGCTGTGATGATCAGTCCCCAGTTGAGCGTATCATCCTAGCCTGTTTTTCCTTTTTTTCCCTATCTGGTCACTTCTGATAGCCTAGTATATTCTTTCTTTCTCTTGGAGTTCTTTAGGTCAGTGTCTCCCATTTATGATATAAATGTATCTATTTTGCCTCTGAAGGTATTTCTGTATATTCAGATTAGAGCGCTTATCAGTCCACCTGTTTATTTTTATTTCCTTTACATGTTGAATTATTTTCTATTGTGATATAATGCACGTAAAATTCATCATTGTAACCATTTTGAAGTCCGCAATTCAGTGGGTTTTGAGTAATATATTCATAGTATTTTACATGTTGATTTTTGACTTGGACTTTTATTTCTGAAAGGAAGGAAAAATACTAAGCCACAATCCAGAGACCCAGCAAATAGACATCGAAATCCTTTCATCCTTACCCGGTGAGTCTTTTAGAACATAGAGTTTGAAGATTAAAGCTCTTTCTGTCTATAGTGATTTTTAACCAGCTTATACATACTGAAGGGGTTCTCACTGGCCTCCATGGAACCTGCCCCCACAGCTCTCTGGCATTCCCCTCTGCCTCTTTTAAGCACATTGCAGCCCTGCAGGCCTGTGCGCCGACTAGTTAGATTGGTTGGTTCTGACAGAAAGGATGAAAATGTCCCGGAAGCAACACCGGCAAAAACGTCACCAAAATTTCACAAAGCGAAAAACAAACTCTCAAAGCTATTTCATGACATTAGAAGCTCAAAGGATAAGACGTTGAAAGCAGACCCACACTTAGAAAGGAGTGTGACAGTTCTGTAAAGCTTAGAAAAGATGCTTAGCGTAAGTTAAACAAGAAGGCAAGCGCCATTCCAACTATCCTCGGTAGGTTTCCTACAAAGAAATTAAATGAGTTTTTTGTTGTTTTTTTTTTTTTCCAGTTTTTGTCTGGGGCTGGGTTTGAACCCACCACCTCCAGCAACATGGGGCCAGTGCCCCCACTCCTTTGAGCCACAGGTGCCACCCAGAGAAATTAAATGTTCTAATTGCCAGTGTTCCTAATGTTTTAAATTATACAGCTACATAATTTCACTGTTTTTTAATTTATTTATACTGTAAAGGTTTTAATAGTTTTCCAGAAATCTTTAGAGATCTTGAGGCAATCTAATTTCCCCATTGATTATTAGGACTGTTTTGCATAGTTTCAGCTTGCATATCTATTTTTCTGGTCCCATACTACTATGTGAATCAAGGACTGCCCATGTACCAAGTAGTAAGCATATGTGATTTCTGAGGACAGAGGAACATTTCATGTTACCTTCCCTCATTGAAACATAGAAATTATATTTTGCGGGCAGTGCCTGTGGCTCAGTGAGTAGGGTGCCAGCCCCATTTACCTAGGGTGGTGGGTTCAGAAAATAAAAAAAAAATAGCCAGGCGTTGTGGCGGGCACCTGTAGTCCCAGCTACTTGGGAAGCTAAGGCAAGAGAATTGCCTAAGCCCAAAAGCTGGAGGTTGCTGTGAGCTGTGATGCCACAGTACTCTCCTGAGGGTGAGAAAGTAGACTCTGTCTCTAAAAAAAAAAAAAAAAAAGAGACAAATTATTTTGGGGAATTATTTTGTGGTTCCAAATTTCCACATTCTATTCTGGGAGTACCAGAGACAGTTCATAAGCTCATGAAGAAAAGATTGTCTCCAATAATTGGCCAAGAAGCCCTACTCCCACTCCCCGCCCCCATCACCGGTGAAGGGTTTTTTCTCAGGGTTCCCTGTTACTAAGCACTCCATGCTTTCATGTGCAGGCCCAGGCTGCACATCAGTTTACAGTTCGTAGTTGTTTTCCTAATGATATAAATTCTCCTGGAGGAATGTTTTAACTCTTGTGAAATGACTGACTTACTATATTTCTTCCTGCCTTCTGGTTTCAGCCTTGAAAGAACCTGGGAAATTTGATTTGGTTTATCACAATGAAAATGGAACCGAGGTAGTGGAGTATGCTGTGACGCAGGAGAAGACGGTAGGCGCGCTAATTTTGCATTGCTTGGCCATACATTCCATCAGAGCTGATCACGTGGGCTCTGGAAGGTGCCGCTGTAACTTCCTGAACTGCCTCTAGTGAAACCACAAAGGATGCAGGCCCTGGGGGAATTGGGCCTTCCTCCGGTGAGGCAATAACAGCGCCAGTTGCCACATCAGTGTGCTATGTTGGACTCAGAAAGCCTCCATGACATGAGGCACAAATAACAAATTTTTGTTTAAGGGAGTAGAGTTGCTTAAAATTATAGCAATATGAGGATTCCGGTAGAAAAGACCAACATTTAGAAACTTGTTATTGGCGTATACATTCAGAGAAGGGCACATAATTGTATAGTTTAAATAATTTTCCTAGATGACATACCCATGTAACCAGATCCAGATTAAGAACTAGAACATGGCTCGGCACCTATAGCTCACCCGGCTAAGGCGCCAGCCACGTACACCTAAGGTGGCGGGTTGGAATCCCCAGCCCGGACCCGCCAAACAACAATGA